CAGTGGTGCAATCTCAGCTCACTGCAACTTCCGCCTCCCAGGTTCAAGTGATTCTCCTGCCTCAGCCTCCTGAGTAGCTGGAGCTACAGGCGTGTGCCACCATGCCCAGCTAATTTTTTTGTGTGTTTTTTCACCGTGTTAGCAGGATGGATTTATCATAGTTTTTATACATTATTTTGGCCATTTTTTCTTATAAAATTTGGAGATGGCAATGTTGACATTTTGCTCTTAATTTTATTCTTATGTGAATGATTTTCAAATTGAACTTACCCTCAAAAGACCATGGCCTAAATGGAATATCTGCAATCAAATGATTCTTCTCCTGCCTCAGCCTCCCGAGTAGCTGGGATTACAGGCACTTGCCACCATGCCCAGACTATTTTTTGTATTTTTAGTAGAAACGGAGTTTCACCATATTAGCCAGGCTGTTCTTGAACTCCTGACCTCAGGTGATTTGCCTGTCTTGGCCTCCCAAAGTGCTGAGATTACAGGTGTGAGCCACCGTGCCTGGCCTAACATCTGTAATTCTTATACCATTTAAATTTTGATAAACATTTGTTGGCTTAATAAAGATAAAATGTTCTTCCTAAGGTTATCTAGCTGGTACACTGTCTCTTAATATTCATTTTAACTGTCAAACTATCCATTTGAAAACTCTTTAGTTGTTTTTGCATATGACATTAACAGTTTTTACAGTCACTGATTATTGTAGCATTTTATTCTTATAGTACATATTGTACACTTTCACTGGCCAATATAATTTCTGCATAAAAAGCACATAAGGAGATTTGTACTTTAAATCAGGGGTCCCCAACACCTGGGCTGCAGACTGGTACTGGTCCATGGACTGTTAGGACCCAGGTTGCACAACAAGAGGTGAGTGGCAGGCAGGCGATCGAGCATTACCACCTGAGCTCACCTCCTGTCCAGTCAGTGGTGGCATTAGATTCTCAAAGGAATGGGAACCCTGTCGTGAACTGCATGTGTGAGGGATCTAGCTTGCATGCTCATAATGAGAATCTAATGCCTGATGATCTGAGGTGGAACAGTTTCATCCCAAAACCATTCCATCCTCCCCCCCACCCCCATCTGTGGAAAAATTGCCTTTCATGAAACTGGTCCTTGGTTCCAAAAAGGCTGGGGACTACTGCTTTAAATTATGTAGAGAATGCTTACATAGTACTCCTTATCTTACTAGTATTTCTTGTATTGGTGGTGCTGCCTCACTGATAATGGTGGTAACCCTGTAATCACTTAATCCTTGTTCAGTAGGTATCCATCTCTTTGGCTTTAAAAATGGCAAAGCTCAACTTGGGTGCGTCCCTATTGTTTAACATCTCTATAGGCCTCAGTTTCTTCATCTACAAAATAGGGAAAAATATGTACCTCATAGATCTGTTAGGATTAAAGAACGTGTTTATAACGTTCTTAGGAGTTTAGATATCTCTTTATTTGGAGAGCTAGGAAGGACAATTCATTGGGAATATTTCAGGTTCGTATGAGTATGACATCTCTTTTTAACCACCAGTTTCTGACTTACTGTTTTCTAGTCAGCCTCACCCCACAATTGTAACTATCTCTTGACCTAGTGGGGAAACCGAGCGCCATTTTCCTCACAGATTTTTGGAGGATAAATAGTGGTAGGTGATGTAGTGGTAGTTGCCTGACAGTTACCCCACAAGCAAGATTCCCTTACTTTTTTTTTTTTTAAAGTCTAATACTTGGAAGTTGCCTTCTTTTTTGGTTCATTAGAATTATACCAGCCCTCTAGTATACCACACAGTCACAATATATCGATCATTTCGGGTGGCCAGACAGCTAACACTTTGCATTCATGTTCATTTTATCCTCATGACAAATTTAATATTTTCACTTTACAGATGAGGAAATTGAAGCGCAGAGAAATTTAAGTATTCCAAGATCACAAAGATGGTAAGGTCAGAGTAAGGAATCAAACCAACTCTGTCTGACTTTCCAGCTTATGCTCTAACCATTACCTTATAAAACTTTTTTTGTTTAAAAGCACAAAATTTGGAACAAAGTATTCATAGACAGTATTTGCTCAAAGGATGTGCCTTCTTTTTCTTTGCACTCTCCTTATGCTAATTATTAAGGCGAGAGTGGCAGTTCTATGTTCCCCGCCCCCCGGCAAAAAAAGGAAGGAAGAGAGGAAAACTAAGTTTCAGTGCTAAAATATCTCGTGGCCCTGGGTGTGCATGAATGCATATCTGACCATAACTAGCCTAGCAGTGAGTTCCCTTCAGATAACTAAGATACATCATTTTGAGGTGGATTAGCTATCCCTGAACCCCTACCTCTTTCTGGCATTTAGCCTCTCCGGCTCCATTTGAGTAGAGTTGTGGTTGGTTTTGTAGAACTCGTTAAGGTTTGGCACTATTATGGTAATGTGGTTTTGAGAAGATAATGCAATAGCCCTCAAAGAAGGAACTACGTGCTGCAGTTCCTTGTCAGAAGTAAACTTGGAGCGAAACACGCCTTTAGGAGGGGTGACTAGGCTGCTTTCCTCTACTTTTAAAGCTGTAGTATGAAGCCAAAACTAAAAGAGGATGGGCTTGCGATATTCGTGGTGCTTGGGCAGCCAAGTGTGAGTATCAGCTTCCAGACCGATGCTTTGTGAATCTTCATTGTTTATTCTGACATTTTCTCTGGCCTTTTGGTATAACTCAACCTGAAGCATCATTGAACTTCCCTGAAGAACTAGTGTTTTTAGGATCCAAAAGTGTTTTTTTTTTTCTGCAGTTAAGTTAATTTGACTGGGTTTTTATATGTCTGTTAGCATAAAACCCCAATGTTTTCTTAAGTTGCAGCATGCTAGGCAAGGTAAGAAGGCAGAGGTTGATGGGTTGTCGATAATTGCGTGGCAGATAGAATGCTAGAAAATTAGTTGAAACTCATACTGGGCTTATTGAATTTTGTTGTATAATGTACATAAACTGTGGACACTCGGTTTGAATTCTGTAACCTTCTCTCTGAGAAGTGACTTCTAATTTGTGTTACTTTGCAGTTGAAAAACTTGCTATGGATTTTATAAAATTTATAACAAAAACCCTAATATATTTTATTAGCTTCTGATAAATATTACATCAGATATCCAGTTAGTATAATTTGAATGTGGTTTGAAACTTTTTTAGAGGTAAGTTTCTTTGTGGATAGTGGAAGATGGCACATAAGTTTTAGAATTATGTCTGGGTACAAATTTTGGCCATTTCACTTACAGCTGTGAATGAATTCTTGGGGAAATTATCCATTAAGTCTCAGTTTCCACACATGCAGAATGGAAATACACTGATACCTGCCTCAGAGTTTTTGTGAGGATTAAAAGTAGATAATAAACCAACAACATGATTGTTTTATTATCATTATCAAATATGTACTGTACATAATTTTATGTTCTGTACTCTTATATGACTGGCAGCACACTAGGTTTGCTTTCACCAGTATCACTGCAAATATGTAGTGCATTACAACATTATGACAGCCGTAACATCATTGGGTGATAGGGATTTTCCAGCTCCATTATAATCTTATGGGACCATCGTTCCATGTATAGTCTGTCATAGACTGAAACCTGGCTAAGTAGCACATGACTGTAGTAAATATTGTTAGCATCCTTCTTTTGTTTTTTCATTTTTGCCTTCCTCCCTTCAATGTTTTCTCACCCCTCCAAGAATAAAATCCTAGCTCCTACCAGGACTCACAAAGCTCTGTGAAATCTGAACCCGATACAACTCTTAAGACCTCATTTCATAACACTTTCCTCGTTCGCATTGCTCTCTCTGCACAGCTACAGTGACTCTAACCTCCCTGGCCAGCTTTTTGCCACCTCAGGATCTTTGCACTTGTGGTACACATTGCCTGATGTTCTTGTTCCCTAACTCTGCATGTGGCTCTTTCATACCATTCAGGCCAGTTATTAGGTCACCTCCTCAGAAAGCTCTTCTGAAGAAGCCACCATTTCCAGTCAAAGACATTTTCTACCATAAGCACCTGTTTTATTTTCCTTAAATGAAGATTTGGATTTGCGTTTTAGACTACATGCAGAGTAAATAAAAATTCTCTACACACTTTTGCTGTAAATGTCTTCTGGGATTTTTGTATATACACTTCCTTTTAGAGAATATGTGCATTTGAAATGGTTTTAAGATATGAGTGTTCAGTAGAATACCTCTTAGTGCCATTTTAAAATGTGATCTAAAGAAATATTTTGCTTTTATCTTTTCTTTCTGCTCATTAATTCACATAAATTACTACACTAAATTGCTTTAGAATGAATAGATTGCTTGGAATGAATTTTAAAATTTATTTTTTAACCCTCATTTCAACCCTTAGTTCTGTGAAGCCTTGGTTGACTTGCCTAAACACTATTTATCTGCAGAACCTTGGCCTTGTTACTTGAAGATTAAATATGATATTTATGATGAAAATGCTCTGAAAAACTAAATACAGCTTTACAATCATATTATATTTGTTACGTACTGTGATTTGTTCCTGATATTTCACATTTGATTCAGGGAAATCGTGTCAACACATTACAGAACCTGTTTTGTTGTTGTTTTTGTTGGGTGTGGGTTTTTGTGTGTTTTTTTGTTTGTTTGTTTTGAGATAAGGTCTCATTCTGTTGCCCAGGCTGGAGTGCAGTGGCCCAGTAATGGCTCACTGTATCCTCGACATCCTACCTCAGCTTCCCCAGTAGTTGAGACTACAGGCATGCACCACCATGCCCGGCTAACTTTTGAAAATTTTTTGTAGAGATGAGGTCTTGTACGTTGCCCAGGCTGGTCTAACTCCTGGACTCAAGTGGTTCACCTGCCTCGGCCTCTTAAAATGCTGGATTAGCTGGACTATAGGCGTGAGCCACCATGCCTGGGCGACAGAACCTCTTTGTGTGATTTTTTTTTTTGAGACAGAGAGTCTCACTCTGTCGCCCAGGCTGGAGTGCAGTGGCGCGATCTCGGCTCGCTGCAAGCTCTGCCTCCTGGATTCACGGCATTTTCCTGCCTCAGCCTCCTGAGTAGCTGGGACTACAGGCACCTGCCACCACGCCCGGCTAATTTTTTGTATTTTTAGTAGAGACGGGGTTTCACCATGTTAGCCAGGATGGTCTTGATCTCCTGACCTCATGATCCGCCCACCTCGGCCTCCCAAATTTGTGAGATTACAGTCGTGAGCCATCGTGTCCGGCCTGACAAACCTCTTTGTAACATGACCGTTTTAGCTGATATTTGGATGGTTTTGATTTTAATAGCAATAACAACAATAATAAAGACTGGGTGAGACTGAACTTTTAAAATACTCTTGCTATTGTTAAATTGGTTTTCAGCTTTGCTCAGGCCTATATGAAGTTTACCTTTGGGAGAAAATGAAACCTTGTCCAATGGGTCTATAGCTTATACCACATGCCATATTCCTATCTATGCTATGCTTCTCTCTTCTGCTAGTAACTTTTCTCCCTAGAACCTGTGCACATTAAATTTCATTTTTCCAGTAGTTCATTTTTAGAATCTTTGCTTCAGTGATGAATTGGAAAATTTTAAAAAATCTAATTTTTCATAAGTAATTTGAGAAGTTCTCTGACCCACCTTACCTGTTTATTGTGCAGTGCTATTATTAGGGTAAGTAAATCAACGTTACATGTTTCTGCAAAAGCAACAAATTACAGGAGAAACATGAGAAAAGTCACATCTAGTTTGTCCAAAAGACATTATCTTTTTATGAGGACCTATTTTATTAATGTAACTGTTTTTAAGTAGGATAATCAACTTTAATTATAACTTACGAAAAGTGCCCAATCAGGTCAGTGGGCTATATAAAAATACTCAAGGTCATTAGAAGCTTATTGGACTTGTTGAATATGGGTTCTTTTCTTGAATTTTAGTGATGATAACCTCATACATAGTTAAGTGAACTTCATGCCTGAAGATGGGGGTCCTGCCCAGACAAATGAGCAAAAATTCATCTTTTTTTCTGAACCGAAAAAGCTAGTTTACAGAGTGATGACTTCATTGTGATTATAGTTACCAGTTTCTGTAAGTATAGAACACATCGCTTGTCCACTAAGTTGGAAGCTTGTTAATCAGCTGATTTTTAACGTTCACCATTACACTGGAGTTTTGGGTTCATACTTAGTTCTTAATCTTTCTATCATATTTAAGTTTCTCATGATCTTCAGGAATAAAACTGAAAGAAATGGTTGTGCATTCCTTTCTCTCCTGGTTCTGTTATTTAAAAATTGGTAATCCTACAGGGTTTCTGTTTGATTTTGTTTTGTGTTTTTGCCCCATGAGAAAGCTAAAGAAACTTTTTGACCTTTTAAAGATGAGTGTGTACTCCTCCCTTCCCTTTCCCCTCCCTCCTCCTCCTCCCTCCCTTTGCCGTCCCCTCCCCCTCATTTCTTGGAAATTTGACTTTCTTTTCTGTCATCGGTTTGAAATTACTTTATTCAGTTATATCATTCTTTCCAAGTTTCAGCTTATTTTGTAAGCAGTTCTCTTTTTTCCTGTTCTCATTACCACTGTTGTTGATCTTGGTCAACAGGGGTAATGTTCTCACTTTCAAAATAATTCTCAGGGGCCTGTGTTTCTCAGCCTCACTAAGTAGCATGAAGCACTGGTTAAACGGAAGACAGTTAAGTAGCTAGTAAGCCAGTAACTGTCATGGAATAGACAAAGACACACCAGTTCTGACATGGAGCAACCTAGTTTGTGTATAAATACAAATTTAAGTAATATTTAAATAGAAATCTCTTTCAGTGGTCCCCAATTATTATTTTTTTTTGGCACCAGGGACTGGTTTTGTGGAAGACAATTTTTTCATGGACCTGTGGGAGGAGGGGACTTGATGGTTGAGGGGATGATTCAAGCACATTACATTTATAATGCCCTTTATTTCTATTATTACTGCATTGTAATATATAATGGAATAATTATACAACTCACCATAATGTAGAATTAGTGGGAGCCCTGAGCTTGTTTTCCTGCAACTAAACAGTCCCATCAAGGGGTGATGGGAGACAGTGACAGATCATCAAACATTAGATTCACATAAGGAGCGCACAGCCTGGATCCCTCGCATATGCAGTTCTGGATAGGGTTCACGCTCCTGTGAGAATCTAATGCCACTTATAACTTAAAATCACTTAGATACTCTGAGTCGTCTGGGGAGTGAGAAGGTTGGAAAAGAGAAAGTACATTACTGAGTGAATAAAGATTATCTGGGATTGTTTCTTAGGTGAGGATCTATTTGATGTTGGTGTTGGTCTAGAGTGAACTAAATATAACTGCATTGGAGCCTAAGCTCAGATGTCTGCCTCATGGTTTATTTCTCCTGTGTTCGTTTCAAGGAGCTCCTGTGATACCTGCTGTCTCCGTCTCAAAACAAAAAACAAAAAACAAAACAGTAAAAATAAAATAATCAATTAATTCTCCCTCTTGCTTGCCTGTCACCTAGTCTAGAGTGCTGTGGTGAGACCATAGCTCACTGCAACCTTGACTATTCACCTCAGCCTCCTAAGTAGCTAGGAGTACAGGTGTGCACCACCAGGCCTGGCTAATTTTTTTTTTGGAGAGAGTAGAGGTGGTCTTTCTC